CATTGTATACAGCTATTTAAGAAATAATCTTATTCCATGAATAGCCTTTTCATTCAAGTATTTATTCATTAGGATATGCCCTAGTGTACAGCTGTGAAGGAATTCAAGCCTCCTTTGAGAGTTAGTGCCCCCTTTTAAAAAATGCCCATTTGATTAATTCTCCATGACTCCTTCACTGTCTTTGCACCTTGGCAGTAGTGCCAAGTGGGGGTGGATTTTGCTTCTGGCTTTTGGATGCCAAATAGAGTAAAACAGCAGTGCATTGCCAAGGGTTTAATTATATTCTTCTGGCAAATGCTTCCTATTTGCCCCTTAAAAAGTCAAGCGTTGCTGGCTGCCAACTCTGCTACTTCAGTCAGCTGAGGAGGGAGGCTCAGGAGGATTACAAAAGGCTCTCCGGTGAGTTGCAGGGCCAGCTGAGGGCTGAGAACATGTACAGAGCTCGGGCGCAGAGCAGGTTGTCTTGTGACCCGACCAGCTGGAAAACTTGGTAGAACTGTGCGCATAGTCCAGCTGGGTATATGAACTCTCTCTCATCAGGCAATGCTGATGTGGGAAAAACGCTTCAGTTGATCAAATCCTTCACAGCTTCCGCCGTCTCCACTGACTGTACAGTTCTTACTGGGAGAAGGGCATATCCTGCCAGTTAGCCTTAGAGAAGAGTGTCACTCCTGCTAATAGTGTCCTAAGGTGGTAAGTGCCACCAGAACTGGGCCCAAAGCAAAGCCTCTGAGAAACAGGCGGCTGGCATCTGCAGGCACGGCTTTGTAGAAATGCAAACACTCTTTAAAACAGACAACGAAGGGGGCAGTACTCTCTCCAGACAAAAAGCCCACTGAGGAATGATATGCTGGGAAGCCACAAAAGTTAACCTTGGATATAAACAAGAAAGTCAGGAGGAGACAAGGAGTGGAATGCCTTGTTTGGGAGGAATGGCTGGCTGGACAAATAGGGGCCTTCCTTTTGGATGCAAGTCATCAGAGCAAGCGCACCACCAGCACCAGCCTGCCTCTTCATCTCCAGTGTCGGGAAAGCCTTGATGGCAGCCGCAACAAGAATAAGCAGGTTCAGTCAGGAAAGACCCCTTTTGCCCTGAACCCCAGCTGTTTTATTGAAAGATCATCCAGGTCCCCTGCAGTTACTTATGACAGCAAGCTACCAGGGAGTGGTTCTCACCACCAACTACAAAATCACAGCCCATGTACAGACACTTTTATAACCTGCTAGTCACACACACCAATACAGACTGTTAAGTGTCCAGATAATGTTAGTACGATCGCATCCTGATGTCTTTAGGCATGACATAATGTTCTAAACCAATCAGAAATACTAGTAACAATAGAATGGAAAACATTACTGATTGCTATATTGACCTGCCAATTGAGTAGATCTCTTTGCAGTTTGGATCCTGTTTAAACATGCAAATGTGTCTGATGGAGGAACCATTCAGGAAATCTGGTTTGACAACTACAATCCACAGGGGCTTGCCTCTGTGGGACTAGATGCTTAGGTGGATCCATTCAGAAACTAATGGACACCACTGTTTCAGTTTTTCTGCAGCTGATGAGAACACAGGTATTTCCTCACTAACAGTGTTAGCTTCCAGCAGCTTCTTTGTCCAGCTAAGAATGCCATCTTCTTAACATAACAGTAGCACTAAACAGTGACCTGGCTTGAATGCTGGTGCTTTCTGAGAAAGGGGTGCAGGTTTGATTATATCACAGAAAGGCACATCTAAGCAACCCCTTTTTGCCAGGATTTATCCAAATTTTCCCAACACCAGCAAGAAAAGTCTAGAACTCAAGGATATCTGCACAAGTCAGCCCTCCCAAGAGGGGGGAAGAGGCATATGTACACTGCGGTTTGTGTTGATCAATTTGCATATGTTGTTTATGGTCACTGGGCTGGACTATGTGGAGCAGAGCGTTCCATGGTGGGTTGGCTCCAGCACTAGCAAAGTGAAAGGCACTGAGCACCAATTTAGTGTTTTCCTTCATGGGGGATTTTTTGGGAAAAGACAAGAGGATAGAAGTTGCCGGGAAACATGGGGGTTATTGATGGAGGACGGTGACATCGAGGCCCCCTGCACATGCTGTGGATGAGGCAGTGTGGTTGCACAGTCAGAGCTTCTTCTGGAAGCAACTAGCCTAATCCTTAGGATCGAGGCAGAAAGTAGTTCCTCCAAAAATGGAAGGCAGCCTGCCAAAGCTGTCATTACATTTGGCTCACGTTCACTTCCTTTATCCTATTTCCATTTTTGGTGAACAGATTTTGTACGTTTTTCAAGCACTGCACAAACCTGGAAACCCTGGAAATGAGGCCAGACTAGACATTAGAGAAGACACAGGATGACCTGTGCAAATGGAACAGGACCTTATGCAGCAATTCTGTCTCTTCCTCCATAGGAGATTTGGGTGGAAAGAAAAAAGGCAGAAGCTGTAAGAAAACATAGGGTGGTTACCCCATATTATATGAATACAGCAGGGGAATTGCATGATGAACACGTCATTTGGAAGCACTAAGTACCTCAATCCAATTGCTACATTACTTTTAGAGACCGAAGAATGGGCTTTAAATAAGAAGAAACCCTACCACACTAAATGAGCAGATCAATTAAGGCTCTTGCCAATATGCCACTGCTAAATGGTAGCAGTTGGAGGAGGTCAGTATGGAATTTTTGCTGGGTTTATTTTTAGTGCCAAATAGAAGCATGTTGCTTCTGATAAATCAACACGAACTGCTGCACTATACTACCGGATTAGATTAAGCAATTGCTTCAGGCTGGTGGGGGCATTCTTAGGATTCTCTTGCTTTGCTCAGAGCCGTGTTCAATTTCAACTCTTTCCTGTGATTATATTTATTGCGGCTTTTCCTGGAAAGCAGTTTGCAAACCAAGAAGTCTGCCTTGCATGCTTGTTCTGAACATTTAACTGGCTCCCAGTGTGCCGATGATGTAGTGCCCTTCTGGGGGTTTATGACAGTGTAAACATATTAAACCTGATCCTGTGCATGGTTACGGAAAAATAAATCCTCTGTATGCTCAGTGTTGCAGCTATAGAACATTTGATGAGATTTGTATGGAGGGCAACAGAGAGCAAATTGTGGGCTATGCACTGCCTTGTTTGCATGAGATCCCCTTGCATGCGCCGGGTATGCGCTGCCTGATTAGCATAAAAATACCAAGTACAGCTTGTTGTCACTATGATAGGAAAGTCTAGGACAGGATAAGCGGAAAGGATCCTCATGCTTGGTCTTGGTTTTGAAGCTTTGGAACCCAATTGCCCATGCAGCCGTGCTCTGCAACTTCCACTCAGTGTGTCACAGCTTATACAGGATCATCCCTAAACTGGTCTAGCATGGGCTCTCTAAAGCTAAAATTCATTTGTCTGTGTTGGGTCATCTACATGTATGCAAACTTGATTAAGATTGGGGTTGAAGAAGCCCAGAGAAGCATCCAGGAGGCTTCCATACAGGAAAATCAAATAAACTCTGAGGTTTTCTTTTTATCCTCAAGAAAAATATGTATGAGCAAGTGGATTTACAGTTGTATGAAATACATCTGTGTTTTGGAGATGGTCGATTGTCTTTCAATTTGCCTCCTGCTCATTCCTTTGTTTGTAAATGTGTACTTGCACGAAGAGGTCAGTCAGTGGCAGAATCTGCAGATTAGATTCACAGAAATCCAATTTCAATTGACTCTGGTGTGAATTTCTCTGACATTCATATTGCATACCATTGATTTTGCAACTGGATGGGTGCATATAGCATTTCCCCTTTTAGTCATCCCCACCATCAACCAGCACAGTACATCTCTGATCCAGTCTGTCTACACCAGGGCTGGAGAACTCCTGGCCTGCTGGGCTCTTTCACCTGGCCTACAGAGCCTTCTCATGTTCCCCTGGTAGTAAGGAGCAAAGAGCATTTGGTGGGCATGGAGACACTCCAAACCATTAGCTCTTCTTACCATTTTTTTTTAACTGGAGGGGCCAGGAACAGAACCTGGAAGGACCTTCTCCATGCTTGTTTCCGAGCTGTGTCCCACCTGCCACATAGTACTAAATCAGAGGCAGATTCCCAATAGATGTTCATAGTAGAACCACCTTGACAGCTATTTATTTAAACTACCCCTAGGCTGCCTTTATGAGCAAAAGCCTTCCCAAGGCAGCTTACACCAGAAAGAGCCAGTGTGGGATGGTGCCTGGAGCACTGGCCTGGGACTTGGGGGATCCAGGTGCTGGTCCCGCATAGCTAGGAAATTAACTGGGTGATTTGGGCTGGTCACTGACTCTCAGCCTAAGCTAACGGACAGGATAAAATGCAGAGGGAGAGAACTTCCCAAGCCATCTTGAGTTCCTTGCAGGAAGCAAAAGGCAGGACACAACAGTAACAAATACATAAATAAATGTTAAAATAATAAGCTCCCCTACATAAAAATCCTATTTATAAATGATGAAACATCCAAAAATAAATAAAATCAATTAACTCCAGCAGTAGGATGTCTAGCTTGGACAGGAATAGAATCTAAAACACAATTGCAGCTAAAGGCCTAGAAGAGTCTACTCAAATATACTCAGCAAAAGGTCAAAGAAAACAAGTAAGTCTTCAGGGTCCTCCTAAAAGCTTGTAACCATGGGACCAAGTGAATTCACAATAGCAACCCATCCCAGAGGTATGGGGCCACAATGGGAAAGGCTCTCTCTTGTGCACTTGCTCATTTACCCACCATCCAAGTTGGGCCAGTTACTTAGCAAACAAGCCAGCATATGAATGTGAATAATAAATAATCAAATATATTGAAAAGGGGGTGTGCCTATCACCTTCAGAAACAGCATGGTGTGAGAATGTACAGTTATACACATATCCCTGTGGGATGGGAAGGGGAACGAGCCCTAAAAACATCACCTGTGAAAGCCAAAGTAATGAGCAAGATTGGTTTCTTAAAGGCTTTTGTGCTTTACAGGGAATAAACTTCAAATCTCTTGAGCCCTTATTTTTGGCAGGGGTTTCTGAGACTGTACAGCTGATGACATTGCAGAGAAGAGGAGGAGGAGAAGCGTGTCGAAGTTCAAGAAACTTTTGTTCTTGTAATTGCTGGTGGTCAGCAAGACTGTTGACGCTCAGGGAAACAGGCGTTCCTGGCTCAGGGAGTGTGCAGGCCCCATGCGGCCTCAGCAGATTTGACAGCCCTGCTCACAACCCGATTTCCTGTTTCTTCCAGGTCAAGAGTGAAGGCCCCAAGCTCGTGCCCTTCTTTAAAGCCACCTGTGTCTATTTTGTGCTTTGGCTGCCAACATCCAGCCCTTCCTGGTTCAGTGCCCTCATCAAGTGTCTGCCCATCTTCTGCTTATGGGTCTTCCTGCTGGCACATGGGATCAATTTCCTGATGGCCCATCGCAGCGCCTGTGGCATCTTTGCTGGTCTGATATTTTCAGCTGTGGGAGATGCATTCCTCATCTGGCAAGAGCAAGGCTACTTCATTCACGGTCAGTGGGTGTATCACTCTTGTCAACTGAGCCTTCAGGGCGCATGTCGTGAATGATAAATGTACTGTAAATATATGGTTCTGTCTGGTAAATGATTAAGTGTGGGAATAATGCTGATGTCTGCCAGGAGGATTCTGCCGTCTGTTCTGGCTCCTTCACTTTGGGTACTTCTATACAGGTGGTTCCTAGTCAGGGCTGGTCCACCCACAAAACAAGGAGAGGTGCCCACAAAAGTGGTGGTAAAGGTAAAGGAGCACAGGATAGGGAAGGAGCTACTGCCAACAGATCTTTTTCCTCACCTTCCACCAGGCCCGTTCCTAGAGCTACGAGTAGCACTGTGCAGATATTCCATTTCTCCCATTTTCTGTGGAAACACAAAATAATGGAGGTAGTGAAGAAGCATGGGAGGTTGACCAAAGGCAGAAAATGACATCTAGATCCCCTGTAACTCTCTGTGAATGAGGGCATATGATGGAATGATGGACGTCTCTCGCAGAAGCATGTAGCCTATATTTTAGGTTGGAGACAGAAAGCATTTTCACCAAGAGCTGAAGATAGCATGATAAAGTTGTCATTTCATGTGGCATGCAGACACTCATTTCTTTTGTCCTACTTTCACTTTTGGTGAACAAATTTTGCAGCTTTTTGGAGCACCACAAAGACCTGGAAACCTTGTAAACAAAAGGCTGAACTAGACAGTGCAGAAGACACAGGATGGCCCATGAAAATGAACCAAAACTGAACTTAGAAAAAAGGCAGAGATATAGGGGGTTTTTTTGCTCCAAAGAACTCAGAGTGGATTGCATCCTCTTCCTGTTCTCAGTCTTACCCCACAGCAACAACCCTGTGAGGTAGGTTAGGCTGAGAGTCTGTGACTGGCCCAATGTCACCCAGCTGGCTCCATGGCTGAGCGGGAATCCAGATCGCTACACCACACTGGCTCTCAGTTTTGCCTCAGCTTATGGGCGAGACAGGAGGAGCTATGAAGAGGGGTGCCATTTTGGGGAGCAGGCCTTTGTTTTTCTGTAATAACTAGCTCTATCCAATAGACAATAGCAAGAACAGATTGCACACCCCAGACAACCCCAGTTTGGTCATACAGCCTTCCCTGAAAGTTATTATTTGCTCCAGCCTCAGTGTATCTACCAGCCTGCTTCTAAAAGGAGTATTTTCAGCTTTCTGGAAAACTACAGAGAAAGAAGTGCAAACACTAACAAGACAGCTTGGATGTCCTGGATGGGGGATCCGTTGCCCAAAATGGGCTGCGGGAAGCCTTGGTGCTTGAAGAGAACTAGGAACTGCCCTTACATCTTGCTTCGTTCCCTTTGGTGCCTGACTCTTTTTCCCACTAAGTAACTATCATTTGAAAGGAGATGGGATATGACAAGTGGCCCAAGGCACAACATGGTTCAGAGAAGCGAGGAGGGGAATCCTTCCCGTCTGGCTTCCACTCGCCTTGCAGGCAGAAGAGGGAGTTGGTGAGATTAGCAGCACAGTGGCTGTTGTCATATTCTGCAGACACAGCACTCTTTGAGTGTCTTGAGAAGTCAGGATCTGGTTTCCAAGCTGTGTCAGGACTGCAGGCCTGGTCCTACAAAGGCCAGAGCTGTTCTTTGCAAGGGCAAGATACCTTCCTGCAAAGCAGACTTTTAAAAACTCTCCCCAGTTATTTTTAAAATCACATCCTCTTTGGGAGGATGCCCATGAGCTTCAGGGCATTGTCTCAAAACGTGGCCCTTGATTCCCCCCCCCCCACACACACACACACTCACACACCTCCCAGTGTGTCTGCAGCCAATGTTCAACGAGCACAAAATTGCTCCTCACAGTGCAGCTCCTCACAGTGGAAAATGTGGTGAGAAAGAATGGCCTGGTTGTATCAGAAGTGCTGAAGTGTCAAGCTTTTTTTACCCTTGTTTTGAATGGGCCTCCCCTCACCCAGGGGCTCCTGAAAGAGCATTTGGCAGCTCCCAGCTCAGGTATAGCCTGTGGCAGGTACGTTTGGAAACCTGTGGGGGACAGACGTAAGCAACCTCTCCCACTAGCCCCTACTCCCTTCCGAAGCCCCATCCCAAAGCTGCTCCTCCTGTCAGGGTGTATTACATGTGTGCAATATCATCATCATCATCATCATCATCATCATCATCACGATGCATTTATTGATTCAGCATCAGCAGTGCGCACTGCACTTTGCAAACATGCAGTGTAGCTTTGTCTGAAGGAACAGCTCTCACCTCAACAATGGGAAGGCAGAAACTGCCATTTGTCCAAGAAGATATCACAATGATGCTTTGAGAGAAACAATCTCCTAACTTATTCACCTCAGGGCTCAATCCTATGCAAGTTTATATTGAAAAAGAGCCTAGAACTGCAGGCCTACCCAGCCAACATAGATTTTTTCAGTCTAAACCTGAATAGGATTGCTCCCTAAATTTGTTTCAATACGAAGGGCTTATGTAAATACTTGTGTTACCAGTAAAATATTTTACTAGCATTCTTCTCATAGGTTAAATTGCATCTTAAAATGGCCTTGAGTGTAAATGGAATCCTCCAATCTAATCTTAACATTGTACTCTTAGAATTTTGAAATATAAAGCCTTTGGAATCCAGATACACTGATTTAGAAATTAACCTTCTAGTTTTCTCAATACTCGTACGCTCTAGTACAGTGGTATCTTGGTTCACGAACTTAATCCGTTCCACGACTCTGGTTGTGAGCCAAGTCAAATTTCCCCATAAGGTTCAATGTAAATAAGGTTAATCTGTTCTGTAAATATTTTTTTAATCACAAAAATTTGAAACAAAGGGAACAAAGTACAGTACAGTAGAGAACACTAACCTAGGTGGGGTGATGTTATTGTTTGGAGGGAGAGTCCAAACAATAATCATGCAATAATGATCGTGCTTGGGAAGCGGGGAGATGGCTGCAATTGCGATCGTGCTCGTGCAAGGAAGATGGCCGCGATCGTGGTCGTCACCCGATGTGGAGTTTGCAAATGGAGGCAACATTTTTCTGAAATTTTTGTTCATGAACCGAGGTACCACTGTACTGCCCAGAAATACAATTCGATTGCTCTACAAGGAGGACTTAAAAACTTGCTTCTTAGTGATGATGCCACCTTGAATGAAAAATAGATCACAATAATACAGCTACTTCCTGTAGGCTTATTTCTCCATGAGCACTTTGGCACAATTAAGAAGTCCTTGCATGCAGCTTACCATCTGCCTGTGTTTTACATAATGGCATATATGAAACTTCCAGGGAATTCATTGCACCAAGGGAGACCAATCATCAGTACTTCTGAATGTTCTCTGTAACATTTAAGAAGAAAACATTGCTGCTCCTTCTAGATCACTTAGTACAAGCAGGATCCTTCAGCAAAATGTTAAAATGCGGACTGCCCCTCGCCTGGCTACTGCGTTGCATCTCTCTGTATCCTAGTCAATCGGCATTCCATGCTCAGGACTGGTTGCGTATTTGGAGTTCTTTGGGGAAGACATACTGGCGCCCAGTGTGTATTTCCTGCTGATTTTATGGGGAGCTTTTATGTCCATTCCTGGGGACATTTGACAGTATAGCAGGACCCCCTGTATCCACGCAGATCAGTTCCAAGCCCCCCAGCAGATGCCTGAAACCATGGATAATAGTGAACACTTTTTTCATATTTGTTTTGTTCTTACTTCAGCGTATGATTTTTTTCTTTCCCTATTCAATCAAGAATCTTCACGTATAGGAAGCACTTTATGACTTCCTTTGCTACCTTACAACATTTTACAATGTCTATTTTGGGCTGAGGTCAACCATGGTTAGCTAAAAACCTGGTGGCCAAGCCAGGGGATACAGAGGTCCTGCTGTAGTATGAACCCAGGGAAGGAACTATCCAGACAATGGGAAGGTTCTCTCTACCCATTTTCCTCCAATCTGAGTCTCTTCCTCCATCCTCCTTTTGCAGCCACTGCATTCCATTTCCCCTTCTAGCTGGTTTTCATGCCCCTCTCCCAGCACCCAGTCAGAATTCAATGGGCAGTCAACGTGCTCAGTCCTCATTCAGTCGTATTTACACCCTCTTGAGTGGCTTGCTTGTTTTCCTTTGCCTTGCATAGGAAGGTGCCTTACACTGAGGAGTCCTACCCATCCCTCTAGCCCTGCATTGTCAATACTGACTGACAGCAATAGCTCTCCCCAGTTTCAGGTGGGAATATGTCCAGCCCTTACTTGAAATGCCAGGGATTGAACCCAGCACCAATTGCATACCCATCATATTCTCCAAATTTGAGCCAGAGTTTTTCCTAAAACATTATTCCTCTTTTGTAAACCTTGGAGATACTCTGATTGGACCAATATTCCCTTTTGCACCTGGGTGGTGCCTTTTTAGCTGGATTAATACCAGCACCCATATAAGCAGACTGGAGGTAAAATATTCTTTCAATATATGGTTTTTTTCCATTTGGTTTTGATTCATGTTGTTCTAAAATGACTGTTGCAATATATGCTGGCTGCTCAGTTCCCCATTCACCCGCGTACCAACTGTATCAATTCTCTGTTCCCCAGGACTGCTGATGTTTGCCATCACACACATCCTGTACTCCTCGGCATATGGGATGAAACCATTAGACCTGAAAGCTGGCCTTGTGATGGCCCTGATGTCGAGTTTCTGCTACACCTTCCTGTATGCCTACCTCTCGGGTCCGTTTACCTACCTGGTAGCCGTCTACATTGCCTTGATTGGCTTCATGGGATGGCGGGCCATGGCCGGGGTGCAGCTGTGCAATGACCTTTGGACGTGGACCAAGCTCTCAGCTTGCATCGGCTCAGTGCTCTTCATGGTGTCAGACCTAACCATCGCCGTCAACAAGTTCTGCTTCCCTGTGCCCTACTCGCGAGTCATCATCATGGCCACATACTATGCAGCTCAGATGCTCATTGCACTTTCTGCTGTGGAGAGCAGAGACGAAGAGATCTTCCGGAAGAGGAAGTAGAAGAGAAGCTCTCTGTAGCAGCATTCACCCCCAGGGTGTCTCTGACTTTTTGAGCAAATTAACAATTGCAGATCTTGCTTCCTCGAAGCAGTTTTGCTAGCATTTAGCTGGCTGTCCTCACTTTCAGTTTGCTGGAGTGTAGAAGCCACACTGGAAGTGTAGGTTGTTCCTACAGAACCTACTGTTTGACCTTTTCCATCATGGAAATTTCAGGAAGCCTCTCTAAAATTTCTCTGTATTTGTGTAACGCTGAAGCTGGTGCTGAACATTCCAGATAGAGAAGGCTCCATTCTAGACAATATTTTAAAAAAAGATGGCTTAGGAATACCCTGGGGGTTAAGAGCCTCACCTTCCACACTGAATGGGTCAGGTCAATTGAAAATGAGCCTCAGAACTGTCTGACCAAGCCCTGCTTTTTGTGCATACGGTACAACTGTGAAACACTCGTCTTAGTACACAAGGAATCCCCAGGGCCCAGTTCAGATGACAGAATGCAGGAACACTTGTGGGGATTTGTAAGGATAGTAGAGCATGTATTATCCCTGGGAGAAACTAGTCTGAATTCCAGATTTATACAACCATTGATTGGTAGGCCATTCAAAGCCTTTCTTCTGAATGTGAATCCTGCAGAGCATCACTTGTTCTGCAGACTTTAAAAGCAACAACAAAATGCAACGATCTTCTCAGGCATGCAAGGGATGGGGGGAAGTGAAAAACTCTTTTAAAAAGCAGATAATGATCTATGGTTAATCCACTTTTCTAGCAGACAGTTTCCAGCATGCATAACCTCAGTGCATCAGAACATGGACGCGGAAGAACACTTGAGTGTTCTCAGAGTCTAAGTCACCAGTTTTGTTGGCTGAATTAATGGGCCAAGAAAACCACCTGCTTGTCAGGCCTGCTGTCATTGCTATGCCAAAATGGTCTGAGATGAACTTGGAGTCAGCTTTTCCTCCTCGGCTCCCCTCCAAAATCTCAAGAGGAATCACTGTATCGAAAGAAGCATTACCAGTGATGCACCCTAAATGAGAGGTTCTTTGGTTGCTGTGAGCGAAGGCCGTGGTATGGACCTGAAACATTAGCAAGTTGGCATTTCTACTATGAACTTGGTGGATTATCAGGGAACAATATTTATTTACACTGAAGCCTACAGGCTCCCCTGTATTTCAACATGTGTCTCTGTGTACCTGCCTCTGTGTACATGTGCACACGACTATCAAGTTACTTGCCCACCACCTCCAGCCAGAGCGGCAGAGTCTGCCGATGCCTTCATCCCTACAGCTGCAATGCGGGTCATGCCTACCTTTGGTACAGCCTATCACCAAAGTGCTGAGAGACCAATGAATACTCCCACGCTCCCAAGCCATGCACCCGTTTCCACTGGGCAGCACCAAGTTACTGTGGTTCAGACTGGGAGGAAAGTGCAGTGTGGAACTTCCCGATGATTTTTGCCACTATGATTTGGTGTCAGGTTGCGAAATGGGTTGAGTTGACCCGCACTTCAGCAGTCAGTGTGAAGACCCTCGATCCACGCCCTCCTGGCTGTATGTGAGAGTTTGGGGGGAGTATATCTTACCTACTAACTGCAATGTATCTTTTTCTTGGTCCACTTCTCGTCACAATCAAGAACGCAGCTGTCAATTAAGTGTTTAAGGGCATCATCTTATGCATGTTAGAAAGAAAAAAGCTTGACAACTCCCAACATTCCTCAGTGAGCATGGTTTGCTGGGAAATGCTAGGAATTGTAGGACTTTTTCTGTATAAACATGCGCTGGATTGTGCTCTAAAGGTCAGTTAAGTGTTTATTTCCTTTTGGGCGGAGCTGCTAGAGTACGCAGCATAGCTGTAGACGCTCTCTTCTGCATTGTTTCATTAGAGCTCTGCCCTTGCTTGCAAAACTATCTCTGTGGCCAGTTTTAATGAACGATCTGTAAAAACATGATCAAAAGAGCCTCAGTTTTCCTGGGGAGGCAATTCTGAAGCAGGGGCATCTCTAAAGAAGTCTTCAACGTATACCAGTTAACTTGTATTATTTCCTGTTCACTTTCCTACATAAAAATAAAAATTTTAGGTACCAACATGCTAGTATTCAAAAGTGACCTGTAACATTCTGGTTGTGCAAATCTAGCAAGGCAACAGTGTCTGGATTCCCGCTGTCACATTTGCACCATCAGGAGGCTCTTTCTAATGTTCAGATGAAATCTTTTTTCTTGTAATTTGAACCCAGTGGTTCTGTCCAGCCTTCTGGGGGAACAGCAAATAAAATGTGCTCCATCTTTGTGACACCCCTCCAAGGATCTGGACATGCCTACCATGTTGCCTCTTAACTGTCTTTTTGCTGGACTAAAATCACCCAACTCCTTCAACCTTTCCTTCTAACTCGGTCTCCAGGCCCCGCTCTGTCCGTGGTACGGTCTAGGTGTTACCAGCCACTTAGTTTGTCACGGCCCTGAAACTGCAGCGTAAAGAAAAAAAGTGTGTTGCCTGACTGAGGGTTCACCAATGGGGCTCTTTCTCCGCTCAAGTAAAGCTCAAGCAATGGGCCCCCCACACAGGGTGCTGCAATGCTCTCGGCATAAGCGAGCTCCCTGGTATTTGGGCTGAGAGCTGTTCAGCCAGCCAGCCAGCCAGCCAGCCTGCCTGCCTTGGTCATAAAAGCTGTATAGGACGCCATGAATGGGCATCAAGATGCTTCTTAACTTGCTCCTGGGCTGCCTGCTGGCTAACACTTCTGGCTCCTTTATCGGGATGCTAAGCAGATTTCATATCTTGTCACGCCAGCTGCAGTCACCAGGGAAAAGGCATTTCTTCTTTTAACTAATGGGTCTTTTATTTTAAAGAATACTAGTTCCAAATAATACAGCCCATGGCCCCCTTTTTTCCATCTCAGGATACCACAATTCCCTAAACTTCTGAAACTGTCTGTAAGATAGTTGTGCTACCCGCTGCATTTTATAGTTTGACCTGGTAGCCATGCTCCCAGGAACTGATGTTCTTTAAAAATTCTTTTCTTGCATCCTCATTCTCACCCGAATCACTGGTTTAAATAGGTCTTAGGATAGTTCAGCTGCTTTAAAGACCCTCACCCGGAAGAGTTCTTTAGTTTCAAATGTAAGCAGTTTTTGCATTCTTGAAGGGATTTCTTTTTCAAAAAGCAAGGGTTACCATTGTTTTCAATATTGACCAGAAGTTGAGATTTGGAGAAAAATAATATTAAAGCAAGAGTACAGTTTGATGTTTTGTTTTGACTGTAACGGGACATTTATAGGCAGAAAAGTAAATTAGAAAAAGCAGCTATCATGGAAGTAATCAATGGGAAGCCCAAATGGGGATTTCTGTGTAAATATATTTAATTTTTTAAACCTTAAATCTACAGTATTCATTTTTTCAGAAGGTATTTAACTTTAATTAGAGAGATCTGATCTGAGGGGAAAAAAAACAATTGTGGTGATTACTTTATATTTTCTGTTACCACTTCTGTGACTTTACTACTCTTCAAATTTCTACATGTGGTATTGCTGTTAAAAAGCACCAGGAGCCAGATAAAGGAGAAAGTGGAAGTGGAATGGCACAGTCCTCAATAAAAGGGGAAACCTTTGCGATGTTTTTGGGAAAATCTGCTAGGCTTGAATGAAAAGCCTGCTTCAAAATGACACAGGGATGCATAATCTCTGGGTTTTAATGCTGTTACATAATATTGGCAGCATTTCATTCATGAGAAATTGTATATGGTCAAAGGGAAAAGGAAGTAAGAGGATTTAGCATGTTGGCATCTTCATTCATCCTGACCAGCCAACCCCGCTGTGACTCTGCCTGGGTACCAGTGTTCCTTGTGATCTCCATGTATCCAGCGTCTAAAACTAATCTGGTAAGAATATTCCCATTGGTAATTTTTCTGGTGGGATATGATGGAGTGGGTGGTTTGCAAGGGCCTAAAGAAACTGAATGCAAAGATAACTAAAAAGCCTTAGTGGACTTTTCTTTGCAAGATATGCCTTTGCACTAAACAGGGCTCAAAAAAGTTATGTGCTAGCAGCAGCTGATGGTCCTGGAATAGTTGATTATAAAATCTCACTTTTCTTATAAATATATTTTAATTCCCTTGATTATTTAATAAGCATATATATTTTAATTCCCTTGATTGTGTCACACATGTTGCTGTTTTTCTTGCACCATGGGAAGTAGTATTGAATAACTGAGCAAAGTTATTATTATTTCATATTTTTTATTTCTATCCACCCAATTTACTCATCATAGTCAAAGCTCTCTGGGTAGTTCAGAGTATAACACCTTATTGGCACTCTATCCACTGGGGAAGAAAAAATATGATGAAAGCCATTACCTTAAAGCAGCCTCCATGGACAAACTGGTGCATCCTAGATGTTTTGGACTGCAACTCACAGCAAGATTATCAACTTTTGGCCATCTCTCCTGGCGCTGCTGGGAACTGAAGCCCAAAACATTTGGCACAGACCAGGTTGGGGAAGGCATGGCCCTAGCCCTTTCCTGAGGCAGCGTAATTTTATTTTGGCTCTCTCAAAGTGCAGGCACTCTGGATGAGCGTGCCTACTTTGGTCAGAGCTTCCAGTACTATTGCAAGATTTCCCCCCTTTTGGAAGATCATAATCCTCTACAACCTACTTAATTTTCATAACCCTTTTCATGGCCCCCACCTGCCTTTGAGGCACATTAGTTTCCTGCACCTTTTGAGATTTATTTTGTTTAACTTCCCGACAAAAGTTTCCATGTGTTTTAGTTTTTAAAATATTTTTATTTAGCCCTTGCTTCTAAAGGCTGTAGCTTATTATCGAGTAGGCAATTATTTCTCAACCGCAATGTGAAGCAAACACTCACAGGGAAATTCTCCTTCCCATGTCAGCTGAATTTGAATCCTCCTCCACCGCATGCAGCACAACTGATTGTGGGTAGTCTTGGATCTGGGGACTATGGAGAAGTTGTATAAAAGTGCAACAAGATGTCCATTAGCATTTTCATTTTTGAGCAAAGAGAAGGGTGCTTGTTCTGTGCTGTCAGGTCATCCCTGACTTATGGCAACGCTATGAATGAATGCCGTCCGAAACATCCTGTTCTTGATAGATTGCTCAGCTCTTTTAAATCTCGCCTGTGGCTTTCTTTATGGAATGGATCTGTCTCATGGTTGGTCTTCCCCTCCTCCTTCTGCCTCCAAAGTTCCTGGCATGACTGGCTTCTCCAGTGAGTCTTGCCTTCTCATGATGTGTCCAAAGTACAACAGCTTTAGTTGCATACAGAGATCTTGGACTTGGAGATTTTCTACATGAAGCATTTAATGTGCATTCAGCCATTTACATGTTCGGTTTCTGTTTTTTCTTGAGCTATTCATAATGCATTCCCTCTCTTTCTTTTTTTAGAGCCAAGAAAGTGGAATCTTATTTCTGAAAGAGGAAGAAGGGTATTTTCATACTGGTATAATTGAAGTATTTTATAGCACAGCAGCACCTGAAGTAGGAAAACAGGAAAGGAAAAAGCTCTTGTTGGAGCTCAGATCTCTTGTCTGCAAAGAAGCCCAAAGCAGATGCAGTGACTTAGCTTATCTACAGAAGGCTCTTAATTGGCTATATCTGTTTTCAGTTTTATCACAGAACTGAAATTTGAGTTCTACAGAAAGTGCTTTTTCTTTCCTGCTTTTTCACTATGCCACCTCTAGGTAGCAGTGTGCTATAATAGAATAGCAGGAATGCACAAAGTAGAAACTAACTTTTCTTTCACTTTCAAAGATAATACCCCATTTTCACCAGTGGGTTAAAAAAAAAAATCAGGAAAGTGCTTTAGAAACCAGAGGCAAAAGTGGAGGACCATGATGTCATCTAAACAAGCATCAGTAAGGAATCTTGAGTTGAAAAGCACTGTACAAAAATGAGCAGCATGAGTACGGGAAGAAAATCACGTACAGGGCATGGGGTTGTGTGTGATGCTCATGACATGTGAGTCATCTGTTTGGGCTATGAGGAAAAAGGATTCTGGCCTCTCTCCCCTCTGAGCCTTCCCCCCTCATTCACACTAGCACAGATATACCAGTTCAATATGAAAGATTCTTTCCTACAGCAGTATAAGGATTTATATAGTAATAAGAGAAGATGGGAAAAAAATGGGAATGATGTGAATGTTGTGAAGGAGGGACCAAACAGCAACTTAAAAATCCACAAGAATCTTAGAACTGCTTTTGAAAATCATGTTATTATTTTTTTATAAACAAGAATTTTGAATAAGTAAATGCATCAGCAGTATTAACACTAATGAGCAGCCATTCAGAGGAAAACCTTCAGAAAAACAACCATCTTCTTTATGTTGTATTTTATTTCTTCACATGCCATGTATAGGAGTCTTTTAGAGACTTAAGGCTGCCTTCCTAGGCCAAGTAGACCTGGAAGCATTTATTTGGGTTGGGTATCATGGCTGTTCTTTGGGGAGAGAGAGGGAAAGTATCTTCAAAAGGCCAGGAAGTCATCTCAGATCTAGAGATCTGTTGCATAAAGTCCACAGGTCTAGTTTTGACTTTTTTAAAAGTAAAGAAGGTAGTCTGATACATATTTACTTGAGAATAAGCCTCACTGAACCAATTAGTCATGCTTAGAATTTAACCTTTACACTGCAGTCCTAGCCATATTTACTCAAAGGTAAAAACTGCTGAGGCTTTATTTAAGTGTGTCTAAGACTGCAGCCTGAACCACTATGGTCTCCAGTTGCAGATGACAAG